CCCAAAGAGGAAGGAGAACCAGCCCAAAAGAACCACACCAATAAGGTCCCCAAAAAGATTGTTAGGATCCAGGCTCTGTGTCTCCTTCCCCAGCTCTATGGGACTCCCATGCTGAAGGTGCCACCTATTCCTCCTACTACGGATACAACCATCACCGTGCTCTATGATTCCCTGGAGCACGCATCTTGTCCTCACTTCCCTCTGCCCCCTCCTGCCTTTTCGTTCCTCTGCCTTGGTGGGAAGCGCTTATCTCTGCTCTTACTCCCCCTCTCCCTCTGCACTGTGCCAACAACATGTGCTCCCAACAAGGACCAGATGGGAATACTTGTAAGAGCCTGAGGTTAACCCGTGTCTTTTATCCCACATACTCTCTGCTGTTTTGAAATGCAGATTCTATTGCACGCGCTTTGCAGTGTAAAGATTTAAAGTTAGTAGTAGAGTATGTTGATATTGCTTGTGAAACCCATCTCACTCCTATTGCACGCTGAACGTCTCCAATATGGGAAACAGAAGAGACAGATAGTGTTTTAATGTCTTCAAGGGAAGGACCTATTGGAAACAGGGGGGAAATGAGTATTTGCAATATGTCCGTGCATATATATCTCTAATATTCCTCTCTCCCTCGCCTCTGCGTTCATTTGTGCCCACACATGAATTCACAGATGTTGTGCCAGCGGGGCTGGGCACAAAGCCTCGGCTTTCTCTGGCTGCCAGCAGCCGCCACCAAGGGCCATCTTTGCCTCCAATTAATCTCTGCGTGGCAAATGATCAGGACCAAGAGCAGATGCAAACTCCTGCCTGCTGGATGGATTTCCCCCATCGTGGTCAAGAAATCCATCCGATCGTCTGGGTGTCTGACCATCAGCTCCAGGGCAGGAGCCATTACCCCTCCCAGTTTAATACTGGTGTGTTGGATGGGTCTAAAACCCCGAAAAGAACGGAATATGCCTTTTTAAGTTTCAGCTCTGTGCAGAGCTAGCAATTTCCATGTGCCACTCCAAGCGTTTCTGTTCAGCCTAGCAATTAAGAAGATGAATTAGCAAGACGTTAATGACGGTTTTATTGTGGGGGGGCAGCCAGGCCCCTGGAGGCTAGGCTGGTAGGAACACAACCACATTCACCAGACATGAGAAGCCAGCAGGCACCTGCACCTTTCTAGAAGTTGGTGCACACAAGAGAGCCCGGAGGCTGCGGGTTTGGGTTCCGCGTGACGCCTCCCTCCGCACGGGGAAGGAGCGATCTAATTACATCCATCACAGAAATGCCAAAACGACATCCGGCTTATAAAACCTCAATTTACGCTTTGACATTTCTGGAAAACCAATTTTTAATCCATGTCATCTATCAGGAGTTCTTGATATTTTACTTCACCTCGATGCTTTATATATACTGTTGCCTTTATTGAGGTGCAGGTGGGGAACTGAACACAGGCTGACAAAATATTAGGAAGAAAAATTGATGTCAGCCCGTGAAAGCTTCTGCGGGTTTTGGAGGAAGAGAACAGCAAAAGATCTGGCTTTAGCTTTTTCCAAATCCCCCAAATCCAGAAGCACCTTGTCCCCTAGCTGAGGCTTTTTTCCTGTGACAGGATTCAGACATTTTTAAGGCAAGACCAGATCACCCCAAAACAATACATTTTGGTAAAGGCCGTGATGTGACAGCCTCTCTTGGGTGTAGTTTATGGTGTAGCCTTTAATTCCACTCCTTCTTGAATAAACTAAATTTCAAACACAACCTTTACTTGGAATGAATGGAGGTGTGGGAGGGGAAAGGTGAATTTTAGACATCACAATATCTAATGTTAAGTCATTAAAAAGAAAGGGCAACTTAATTTTGGAGTAAGCAGCATAGAAAATGAAAGAGAAAGTCTAATTTTCTTCAGGAATTCTTTCATAAATCTCATCTATCTAGTGTATGTACAGCAAAAGTGGGAATGCCATGAAACTGAAAATGCTTATTATATAATTTTTGACCCGGTGCAAAATATGCCCAATAAAAATACACAATAATAAACTCCTTTCTACTATAAAAATTACTAAAGTTGGAAAACAGGACTGCAAGTCATGCAAGCAGAAGGCTTCCTAACCACCAGCAGCTCCCTTCCCTGGGAGTTTAGGTCACTTCAATAGGCCATAGGGGAAAAAAATGATGCAATTATCAGACTAGGACATCTGTAGATAAAAAAAAAAAGTGCTGACATTGATTTTGGTAATTGCTCGGGGGTTCTTTTTTGTATAAAGGACGTGATTTTAATACTTCTGCTTGGGATTTTATGAACACGGCAGTCCAGATTTGCAGAGCCAGGGGTCGTAAAATGGCACGCAGACATGATGTGGCCAACAGCTGCCTCTTTACAGCTCTCACCTCGCCTCAACGACGCCTCCAAGGAAGAGCTTTGCCTTCTTTTAACTATGCTCTCCCTTGCAGCCTTGCCGAAAACCTATGGGATTCTTACGAGGGCTGAGGCCAGGAGCTTGCACCCAGCCCTGGGTGGAATAACGTGTTTGTCCAGACCGGTGGCAGGAGCAGACGCCCCCTCCTCAGACTGCACTTCAGATAAATAAGGTTATTTCGCTACGAGCTACTACAGGCTACAATATACTCACATAAATATATTAATGCCTATACGTGGATATGAATCGGTATATATCGGATACAGATAAGAAACACTTACGACGACAAGTAGATACCAATAACCGCTGCAGCTTCTCGCTGGGTAAAGTCCACCATCCATCCAGGCTGCACGCGAGGAGCCCGCGAGGGAGGGCTTCGCCGTCCCCCCGCAGCGCCCGGCGGGTCGCCCTCTCCACACCCGTGCAAAACACTTCCCAACCCTTCCATAGCTCTGTACTTTACCAGGAAAGCCAGCTCCGTGAGCCGGACCCAACACAACGTCCCTGCAGCTGCAATGCAGGGGAAGACCCCCAGCCCCTTCCATCTGGGATAAGCTTTTCATCCTGCCTTTTGCACCAGCAGCAGGGAAAGCCAGGTACAAGGCAGCTGCTGGACTTGGCTTTGTAAAGAGCACAAGTGCAAAACTCGATTTTAAGCTTTGACAGCAACACGGGGGAGCCCAGTTTGCAGAAGGGGTGAGGAGCCGCTGCGACGGCGGAGCTGAGGACGCTCAGCAGCTCTGCACATTGCAATGTAAAAATCCAAATCATCATCCCACTCTTGGTGGTTTGAGAGGATCCTCAATACAGCGCCTGTCCTCCTCTAACATACGAGCGGAGCTGGACCAAGCAGGATCAACAGGTCTCTAACAGACACGTGCATGCAGGAGACGGCTTCTCTCAGCATTAGACTACGTTACCAAAGCATCCCCTTACCGGAGCGGGAGCAGAAATGTGCTCCTAGCATTATTTACACAATATAAAGTGCATTAGAATTTAATAATTCAACTGACAGACTTTCTGCCGGGACCGTACAATTTTGAAACAGAGGTGAGGGCTTGAATAGGAAATTCTCTCATGAGAAAAAGAGGTTCAGACCGGTGCTCTTCACCCTGTCCTCCTAAGGATTGTTTTTGGCCGTTCTTTCTAGTGCAAATAAGCTTGAGTTTTCTCAAGTTTAAGGGACATGGCAGTTTCAGGGCGTCAGGAACAAACATTTAAAACACATCAGGGATTCAGTGTTCCCGAGCATCTTGTTGGGCCCTCCTGCACACCAGCAGCCCGTGTGGTCACTGCTCTGGGAAGCTGAAGACGCACTGCCAAAATACAAAGGAACCCGTTTTCGAATCTCACCGTTCAAGTCTTGCATTGCTACACTCCAAGTGCATCCCTACTACCCTCCAGCCCAACATCTGCCTGCCATCGCATGGAAAGCCATCATCCTCCAACTCAACACTGATGCTTTCCATTGCGATGGAAACCCACAGCCGCTGGTCTACCCACGAGTGATCGGCAATGAACGTGAAGATCCCGATCCAGGTTTGGATACTAAGGTGCATCCCGTGCCAGGGGAGTAAATGCATTAGCAGATCCTACGGGATACCTGCGTGCCAGAACCCAGGCCGGCCCGGTAGCTGGCCGTTGCTGGATTCCTGGGTGACATTTACAAACTAACGGCATTGGAAGGCCAATTCATTAACAAAAGATAAAGGGTTTTTTTAAAAAAGGGGCAGCAATAAGGAAAGCAATTCTGCATCCTTTTTTGCATCTTTTAAAACGGTGAAGAAAACATCCCTTTCTAATCACGAGTAATTTCCTCACCCACACTACAGGAACACAGGGAAGGCATGAGCACTTACAACACATGTGGCCACTCAGGCTAATTCCAACCCAGGAGCTTTTACTATCCCTTGAGGCAAAGGCGGGCAGGGATGGGAGATGCCGAGCTCGCCGGGGAGGAATGCCACACAGGAATGGGAAGGAGAGCGTAAAAAGTTCGTACATTCATAGCTCCGGTTTGTTGGACTAGAAGTGAATTTTTTACCTCAGGCACTGTGACGGGCAGCAGCAGTCAGCGATACGCTAACGTATCAATGCATCAACCACTCATTCACTAAATTCTGGTTTCACACCGGAACAGGATGTGAAGTTCTTTTAACGTGGGGTTTTGTGGGTTTTTTTAAATTAACCTGTTAAAACCATTGGGACAAAAGCTGTAAGAGCGACGATGAACCAGGACCCCGCACAACGCCCGCTGATTCATCACTGTCCACTGGCTGTTTGAGTGATGAAGCGAGAGCATCTCTTCCAGGTTTGAAAAGGGACCTGGAAGAGCAACCTATGGAGAAAGGGATGGGAGTTTTTGATACTAAACCAAAGGCTTGGTTGCTGTAACTGCTATATGTGGTTTTAAAGGGGAAATCACCTAAAACAGTGAAATTAACTTTCTTACTTCTTGTCACAAGTGTAACATTTTCCTAAAGGTTCTTTGGTGACTTTGGTGCAAGCTGTTATATTTTTTTTTCTTTTTTTTTTTTTTTTTTTTTTTTAAAAGTTAAAACAGTTTTTTTTTTTTTTTTACCCAAGCTAAAATCCAGATTATCCTNTTTTTTTCCTTTTTAAAAGTTAAAACAGATTGACTAGTTTTAGTACCCAAGCTAAAATCCAGATTATCCTCTTGGTTCCCAACCCTGTCTCCCCAGCCTTTCTCATTATGACATTAACAGGCAACAGCATTTGGATTGAGCGTGGCCATGCAGTGTGCAGGTGGCTCCAGACTCAGCATGGTGAACAGTCTGCTTGGAGATAAAGATGTTTCTCAAAAGGTTAAACAAATAAAACAGGGCATGGTTGCATGGAAAAATAGCTGGTCCACATGCACACTAGGCCACTCTGTAATGAAACTATTTGAGTGATTACAAATATCAGACATGGCAATGCCTGCTTAAAACAATCTTAAAGGTGAGCAACACGCTACTAGAAGTATCTGGAGCTCAAACTCCCACTGGTTCAGGAGGAAGGAGCTGGTCGTCCAAAGGCTGAACAAGCCCCTTATGTTATAGTCACATTTTAAGAAACACAGAATCTTTCACCAACCTCCCAACCAGGTAATTGCACACATTCCCCCTCCAGGTAGAGAGTTAGTATCATGAGATTTAAAATTTACATCACAAAGACTCCAGAATGACACTGAAACCAGATCTGGACTGGAGCAAGGAGAAGCTCCAGCTCTGAGCTGGGGGGGAAGGGGGTGATGGCAGGGCAGAGATGTTGTCTCCCCAACACCATCCAAAATCAACACAACAGAAAACCCAATGTGGCATCCACCACAGCTTCCAAAACGCACCATGGGTGAGCATGAGAGATGCCTTTCTACAAGAATCCAGTTGTGCACCCAACACCCCAAAGGTCTTCCCCATGGCAGGAGGAGGAAAACAGCCAAATGCTTCCCTTGCACAGGTAACGTCCTGAACCATGTTAATCTGGGAGACAAGCTGGGAGCCTCGGTTGCGGCATTCCTTCCACCTCCCAACACCTGCTCCCATGGCCACCTGCTGGAACGCCTAATACAAAAATACCTTCTGAAATTTCAGACAAAATGCATTAAAAAAAAAAAATCACCAGCCTCTAACGGGCAGAATACGGAGATGAGGAGTGGGTTATTATTCACTGCCATTAATTCAGAAGGCTGAGCACTCTACTGTCCTGGGATACTCAGGTGATCTGGTCAGCACAAAACTATGGAATGAACATGAACGACAGATCTTCCGCCCTTCACCGGCACGTGACTGAGGTCTGACGGGTCATTGAGACTTTATGCATAAACAGACTATTGTTTCCAACTCAATAACCAGGAGACGCCAACCTTAAAACCTCTCTCCCTCCTCACACACAGACCAGAGATTCATGTGGAGCTGATTTTTGCCATAAATGCTCTACGGCAATGCTGCTCGGCCTTTGGACCGGGCACGGGCACAAGCCAGTCCTGAAAAACTCGTGATAAGCAGAAACCGATACATCTCATCGTAAGGTTCAGGGTGGGGGTACTTTTGCATCGTGTTTAAGTGCAACATTAGCCTTTTCTAGACTATTTAAAGGTCAGGGTGCCGGATTTTGTTTGTGCTGATACTTGTACTTCCACAGTCTCCAACACTCGAAGCAGCTGACTCATACGGACTCAGGAGGTTGGTCCTTTCCTAAGACACACGGAGATGTTTTGGGCATAGTTTTAACGTGGTAACCAGACTCCTATAACATTATGTACTGGAGTTAGCAAGAACTACCAGAAAAGGACTTTACAAAAAACTGGGGCAACTTGGAATTACTATAGGTCAGTCCCTCTCACCAATTTCTGCTTGCTTTGTTTGGTTAATTGTCCAATGCACTCTATTCCAGACCCTCTTGCTCTTCACCACTGTCCCCTCTGGCATCCATTCTTTTCTCTTTATGGCTGTTGTAAATTCTCCTCATCTCTTCTTCGTACTTGATAAAATTTTCCCCGAACCGTGTCCACGCTTTGTAGGGAACTGTGATGGTGTTACGGTAGGGCGGCCTCACCTCACTTACCTTCAGGAAGATGCCGTACCTGTTGGATCCCACGTCGAAGTAGAAGCGCTTGTTGTCCACTCTGAAGGAGGTGCCCTCGGGGAGCTCCGGGGGCTCGTCACCTCCCCCCCGGCGATCCTCTATGTCCCCCTCGCCGTATTCTTCAATCAGCTGCACCAAAGCATCCCTGAACTCGATCATCCCTTGCGCCGGGAGGACGATCGTCTGCTCCTGTCCCAAGCTGTGGCCGAAGTAACCCATCATGCCAGGTCCCCTGCTCATGGTCTGCCTAATCCGCAGGAAGCGCCCGCGCTGGTTCTCCTTCAGGTCCAGGTAGTACTTCCTGTTGTCCCTCTCGATGTACTCCGTTTTGAGGACGCTGTGAGGGGGCTCTTCAGAGCCCACGGACACCGGGGGCGAGGGCGGTGGGTGCTGCGGCCGCCTCCGGGGATGCTGCTCCTTGTCGTTGCTGTGTTCGTGCCGGTGGCCATGGCCGCCCTTCAGGCCCAGATGGGCGTAGTGCTCGATGAAGTCCCCCAAGCAGTCCTTCAGCTCGGCAGCCACAGACAAGGAGAGGGTCAGCTTGCTCTTCCTGATGTTGTCCTGCCTGCCCCTTCCTATCCAGACCTCGGCGATCTTCAGGAAGCGGCCTCGGGAACTCTGTTTCACATCCAGATAAAACCGCTTCTTCTGGATGTCCACCCTCTTGGAGGCCAGCTCCTGGATCTCCATGCAGCTCCCCTGGGAGGAGGCCGGGTAGTGGTACTGCTGCTGGGACTGGGAATAAATATTCCTGTGCAAGCCAGAGCCTCCCAGGTTCCTTCCTCCTCCTCCTCCTCCTCCTCTCCCTCTTTCCATCTTTACCAATCAGCTGGAAATAATACACAACAGAGACACAGATGACAACATCAGCACCAGGGGCCTGCTCAGCTCCTCGGCAGCGGCTCCGCTCGGCGCCGCTCTCCCTACAAAGGCTCCTGCATCCCCCTCCGCTGCCACCGGCACGCAGCATCGCAGCCCGAGGATCCCGGGCGCTCTTCCCCTCCCGTGCTCTGGCTCCCGGACGAGGGAGCCCCGCTTCCAGCGGCGCTCCCCGGCAGCGCTCCCTGCCCTGCAGCCCCCTATCCTGCCCCTGTGGTGCTACAGCCCCTCCAGCTGCCCCACGGGGGCGGGTGATGGTGCCCCGTTTTGGGGGGCACTCACCCCTCTGCCAGGGCTGCGGCTCCCCTCGGCAGGGTCTGTCCCTGTGCCTCCATCACCCCCTCTGCTCTTCCTCCCAGGGCACGGGCGGGCACCGGGGTTCTCCCCAGCACTGCCCTCCTGCTCCCGCTACCCACGGAGCCCCCGCTGCCGCTGCATCTCCTGCCCCAGTGCCCCCCAGGCTTCAGTTCCGTCCTCCCCCGTACTGCCCCATTGCCTCCCCGGCTCCTCACTGCCCCTGGTGCCCTCACAGTGCCCCCAGTACTGCCCCCGGCAGTGCCCCGCTGCCCTCCCCTCTGTCCCAGTGCTGCCCCCCCGGCCCCCAGCGCCCCAGTATTGCCCCCCCAGTGCTCCCCATCACTACACCTCCTGCCCCAGCGCTCCCACAACTTCACCATTGCCCCCCAGTGCCCCAGAACTGCCGCCCAGCCCTCCCAGCAGTGCCCCCGGGCGCTCTCAGTGCTGCCCCCAGAGCCCCAAAAGTGCCCCCCAGTGCTGCCAGTGCCGCCCCCGAGCGCTCCCGGTGCCCCAGCGCGGCCCCCCCAGCGCCCCCCAGCACAGAATCTCCCGCCCCATCACTGCCCCCCTTACCCCGCCGCCCCTCCGCGCCCCCCAGCGCCGCGCTCCCCGCGCCCGGTCACTCACCCCGCAGCGCCCATCGCCGCCGCTGCCCTTCAGCCGCCGCCGCCGCCACCGCCCGCAGCCGGCGGCCCCGCCGCCCCCCCCCGCCGCGCAGAGCCACGGGCTGGCGCTCCCCCGCCGCCCGCTCCGCCCCGCCCCGGCCCTCCCCGGCCCGCCCCGGCCCCGCCCGGCCGAGATCGGCGGCGGCGGCAGCGCGGGGGGCGCCGGGGGCTGCGCGGCCCTCACGGCCGCGGGACTACAACACCCACAGTGCCCCGCGGCCGCCGCAGCACTGCGCGTGCGCGTCACCTCGGGTAACCTGAGCGAAGGCGGGCCGCCATCTGTGGCGTATTTACGGCGCGACGCGGCGTGACGCGCAATGGGCGCGCAGCGCGGGCTCCGTGAAGGAGGCGGCCGCGCCCAAGGCACCGGGTACGGAGAGGCCGCGGCGGCGGGACGGGCCCGCTCAGAGCCCTTGGCAGCGCTCGGGACCTGCTGAGCTGGGGGACGGCACGTGAAGCGCTGAGGGCACTGGGAGCCCTGTGGGACAGCCGCTCCGAGGGGGCCCCGGCAGCCTGCCCAGCGCTGAGGGTGCTCTGTCCTGTGGCAAATCGGGCGCGCTGGCTGTTGTGTGAGGACGTGCGGGCGGCTCCGTGTCCCCTGCCGGTTATCCCGAGGAGTCCTGGCCTGGCTGGGCGCTCCCATCGGGTGCTGAGCGATCCCGAGTTCCGGAGGTCGGCGTCGGTCTGGCCAGGTGGGTGCGGCTGTGGCGGGATGGGATGCGGGATCGTTTGTGGGTATCGGGAGTGCTCTGGAACTTACAGCTGGTTTGGGAGCGGTGGGTGCTGCAGGGTGTCTTTTATTTTCAGCTTCTGTATTGCTCTCTCCTGTTCCCGGCAGTCCCAGTCTAATAAAGTGAGTGGTTATAAAGGGGAGCTGTTGCCACGTTTTGGTGTCAAAATCCTTTTTGGAGTTGAAACGGTTGTGCTTCTGCACCCCAAGGGAGAAGTCTGCTTAGCCTTGAAAATAAATTAAAAAAAATATTTCCATCACCTTGTTCAGACCTGATGATAGTGGTAGCTGACCTCCACCTGAGCTGCAGACTGTTCTGATTTCTTGTTCTTCTCTTCATTAATCACAGAAATGTGCCAAAAATGGATGTGGTAGCTGCTGGCCTGCGGGGTAAGTATCCCCAGTGGATGCTCACAGAGAGCCAGGAGGAATCTTCTTTGGGGCACAAAAAGGTAGGTCCTGGCTCTTTATAGGCTGCAGAACAGCCCAGCTCTGGAGAATGTGCTTTTAGTTAGGCTTGTGCCTCCAAGGGAGTTTTCATGTTCCTGCTGCTCTCCCAGGAATGTGGGCTCTACATTAGTGAGGGTGGGGGATTTCTCCTCCCTTCAAGTTGGGGAGTTGGTTCTGGAAAGGCCCTTCTGGTGGCCTTGATATGTTAAGTATTCCAGGTTGGTTTGCAGCTGTGTCAGCTGAATTAATTGCTCATTGTTTTTGATGTCCCCTAAGTGTTCCTTGTTTTGTTTTTTGGTTGTTTGTTTTTTTTTTTTCCTGTGTGCGTGAGCAGTTCAGTATAAAAATGCCCTCGAGGCGGGACCATCCCTGTGACGCCTGAAACAGCTTCAACAGTTAGATAATTAATTAATTAATGAGGGAGGGGGAAAGCAGAGGCTGCAGTTCAGCAGCTTTTATTCCACAAAGTGGGAGTAAATGATTAGCTGATGAGTAAGTGGTTAGCAGCTTGGCTATTACAAGTTATCAGGTGAAACAACAGCAGTTTTTTATTCACTGAGTGCTCAGAGTTAAATGGAGAAGCTGGGCAGGAGCCCAAATGTTTTGATGAAGGGGCTGTGGGATGGATGTGAGGACAGGTGTGGCAGATAACCGATCTCTCCCAATTTTGGTTTGCCAGAAGTCTGGTGCCCAGAGGAGTGTTCTGGAGGATGGGCTGCCATTCCTGGAGTTCTGTGGCTCTGTTGTTTATAGCTACGAAGCCAGTGACTGTTCTCTTCTCTCAGAAGATATCAGGTAACAGTTCATATTCCATTTTTTTCTTTCTTTCCTTTGAGTGCTCCTTTCTTTTTGGAAGGGATCAGGCTCTTGGGAATATTTTCCCATTTGGCCTTGTGGGAGATGCCAGTGCTGAACCTTTCTGTCCCTCGGAGCAGAAGCTGTGAAGGCTCCAATATCAGATCGATTGCCTTCCATAGAATGGGTAATTCCATGAGCTTCAGTGACTTCATGGAGAAATGCTAATTCCTAACTTGGGACTGTATGTGTAAAGAAAATAAAGTAAATTTATTTATGGTGCAAATCCATGATTATTTTTCCTGGTTTTGTGTAGCACAGCTCATGTTGCTGGGGAAAAAGAATTCTGTACAAAACTTCCAGTGCTGTGGGGTAAATAAAGAGCTGTTGTTCAAGGGGTCGTGGGATGAATCAAGAATGTTTCTATGGATTAAAGGCCATTCCATCATCTTTTCCCTGAGGCCTGTGTGGCCAAGTTTTAGTAGTGGGGTTAAAGGTTCTGTCCCTCTTGTGCTGCTGAGGGGGAAGAGGTAGGAAATTTGGGAGTCTAGGGCAGAAGGGGGTGGTGTGGGAAAGGTGTTTGGAGATTATTTTATTTCCCATTGCCCTGCTCTGCTTTGAGTGGCAAGAAATCAGTTCATTTTGACGTGCTTGCTTTGCCCTGCTGGTGATTTCTGAGTGTCCTCTCCCTGTCCTTCTCTGCACCTGCCACCTGCAGATATTTCCCAGCCATGTGCTAGTCTTAGCAGGCAGATCTGCAGGGTTCTGGAGCGCTTCAGGTGGCTCTGTGGGCCAGCAGCAAGTGCTGTGAGTTGTGAAAAGCTTTCTGTGCCTTGCACGTGTGATGTGGGCAGTCACAGCCCGTGCGCCCTTGCTGGGGGGTGCCAGGCGTTGTGGCAGCAGGTAAATGTGGGGGGTGTCTGCTCCTTTCCAGGCAGAGTTTGTCAGATGGGGCTGCTGTTGGCTTTGACATCGAGTGGCCACCAGCATACACCAAAGGGAGGATGGCCAAAACAGCTGTAATCCAGATGTGTGTCACTGAGGACAAGTGTTACTTGTTTCACGTCTCCTCCATGGCAGGTACTGTACCTCTGCTCTTATTTAGGGCATGGACTTCTCACTGTTTCTCATGCTTATCTTTGAACTGAAGCGTTGAGTAATGGCTAATATACCCTACCACATGGGACAGTAAAAATCCTTCCTTTTTCTCCCCTTTCCCACCTGTGATAAAGGGATTTATTCTTTGAGGAGTGCCTGTATATTAAGACAATCTTAGCTTGCCAGGTGTGCTTAAAAACAGGGTGTGGGTTCTGAACAGGGAAGAAGAGTCTTATTTGGGGATTATTTTTCTCTGGGTGAGAATATTCCAGTTTTCAAAATTTAATTCCCTGCTCCTGTGAGTTTTCTGTTTAGTGCCAAAATAAACAGCGAACCTAAATAGAGTGGGCTGTGGGTTTTTTGTGTTTTGTTTTTTTTGGGTTTTTTTTTGTTTGTTTGTTTTCTGGGTTTTTTTGTTGTTTTTTTTTTTAATTTGGCTTCAACAAGAAGCCTTAAAAATTATGGCTCTTGTATTCTTTATTCCCAATTCCTGCATTATATGACATCAGCTTTGGGAAAGAATACTGGGTACCTGGTGTGCTACAGCTGTGGGGAGAGAAGGGGGTGTGCTTAGCAGGGGCTGAATTCATTATGGATGTGAATAAAAGCTTCCAAATAGGGAAAATAGGGATGAGGGAAGGAGCTGGCAATTTTATAACCTTTGGTTTAAAATGTTAGATTAAAACTATGCCTGTGAGAGGTTTCTGATTTCCCTGGGGGACTCATGCTGAGGTATAATAGCGATCATTTTAATGTTGGTGTTCAATCCTTTGTCATTTAGAGCAAATGGGGTGGAAAATTTAATTGCTGGAGGCCATTCCATCAGGGAGGCTGGGGAGCACAAAGGAAAATGATGTGAGGAGAGGAAGCTGAGGGAGCAAGAGCCATAAAGAGCTGGAATGCTTCTGATTCTGGCAGGGAAGATGTTTGTGTGGCTGCTGTGGTACAGCTAAAGGTGGTGTTTCCCTCTGGATGGTTTTCTGAAGTGCCTGCTCTTGCCAATGGAGGATGCACTTTGAACTGAGTGACTTGTGCAGGGACCAGAGCCAGTTTCTGCTTGTTATGGCAGTGTATGTGATCTGCAGAAATGCTGGCCAAACCACAATAAAAAGCAATAAGTCCTAGCGAAAAAGCTTTCTCCTGCAGGAGGAATTGGCTGTTCGTGGACTGTTTATAGATGGCAAAACCACATTTATTTATTTATTGGGAAGATTGTTCATAATTTTTCAGGTTTTTTAGTGTTTTTTAAATTTCCTTACAGATTTCTCAAAATGTGACCTGTTTCTCAGATTGTAGCTTTTGCACAGTCTTCAAATTAGACTTTTTGTTTTCTGTTAGTCACTTTTCTAGGAATGAGGTGGTGGGAATGGGGCCAGAGTCCTCCACTGGGGAGTGCCCATCCTGTAAGGTTGTAATGATGATTCTCTCAGGTGGAAACCCCTTGTACAGCAAGCCTCTGTGTATGTTGCAGGCTTTTATTTGATTAAATCCTCTTTATATGTGGAAGATTTTCCATCTTTTCCTATAGCTCACGTGCTTTGGGAGTGCTGTGCTTTGTCTGCCTCTCACAGCACCAGGCTGCTACTGTTTGGGGGGGGGGTTTACCAGTTATTTTTTAATGCTTTGGGGTAGCTCTGTGATTTCCCAGTCCACAGCACAGCTGACTGTGGCTGTAGCTGCAAATGTACCTGTACAGTGGCAGCCATCAGAGGGCAGAGATAATTAATGCACAAAAAAAATAGTGCACAAATAAAATCCGTAGTGCTAAGTGTTTGTTGGAGCACATAAATGCATATTGCAGGGCTGAGAAAAGGTGATGTTTGAAATTGAAACCCAAGGCAGATGAGCACTGTGTGCCTGTGCAGTTGTGTGTTTGCAGGTACTAGATTTGCACTTGAGACTAATTCAGGGTATCCAGCTGTGGGGTCCTGA